TATTATTATTTTTTTTTTCATTTGGAGAATAGCGGAGAGAGGTCATTTTTAAATTGTGACTGTGAATACAGTCGAGGACGGCGACAGGATGTCAAAGGGATTAACATAATGCAAAACAAAATAAAATAATGATTTTTTTTTTCTTTTTGTATGCAATATTAAATACCTAGGTTGTTTTACCGGACGTCCAAGACCCCTGGGTTGTCCGACCGGATGTCTGGTCGGACGTTGGACGGTCTCGGACCGAACAAGGGTTGTCCGACCTAGCGCAAAAAAAACAAAAAAAAAAACAATTTTTTTTTTTTTTTTTTTTTTAAATCATGTGGCTTCTACCTTGCATAAGGTGTATGCCACCAAAATTTTGGCTCATTTGAGCCAGTAGAAAAAAAAATAAAAATCTTCAAAGTTTCTAATCCCCACCTATACCCCTCCTATCCCCACAAAAACCCCTCGTAGCCGCCCCTCCCACCCCAAATAGCACCCTATCACCAAATGCTTATAAAATTCTGAATTTTTTTGGGGGGGGTCTGTATGGCATGCGCAACATTGTTATAATTTTTTTTTTTTTTTTTTTTTTTAATGTCAAAAAGTGGTTGTCCGGGATCCCGGACAACCCCCCTACCGGACGGTTGGGGGAGACGTCCGGCCGAAACGTCCAGCCATCGAACGACTGGTAATCTAGTTAAATACAGATTAAAAAAAGAAATGAATATAGGCGTGATAGCTTAGATGACAATGGTGATAGTAATGGAGCTACCGGTAGGTAAAATGCCAATTCAAAAAATTAGTCTAACGATCCCCCCAATTTTTTCATGGTGGGCGTGTGGTGGTAGTAATGGAGTTACCGGTAGGTAAAATGCCAATTCAAAAAATTGGTCTAACTAAAAAAAACATCTTCCAACAATTGTCGATCAAATACTCTCGGTATCCTTGTTAAGTGAGAGGGCAATTTTTCTCTATCAGAATGAACTCATTGTTGAACGAAGGTTTACTTAGGATTGTACTTTTGCTTATTACAACATAAAAATTTCCCAGAATTAAATATTCATTCTATAGTAAAATTACATTCTAAATTTTGAATTTTCATTCCATCTTAAAAAATGTCATTCAAATTTTAAAATTTTTCGTCTTACTTGAGATCTTTCCTTCCAAGAATGAGGTATCCCTTCTTATTTGAATTGCATGCTAAGTAAGGATTTTCAGTCATAAATTGGTTAATCCAATCTAAATTAGAAGATATTTGTTGTAGTAGAATGAAAGTTTAATTAAAACATTTAATAAACTCGTCCAGACTTTCATTCCAACTTGAACAAATAGATGTAGTTGGAAGAGAAAACTCATATTTAGACGGGAACTTATCAAATAAAACTCAAAATTTTAGAATTGGACAAACATTTAAATAATAATTTATAAATATAAAGGATTTTTTTTTATGGAATGTTTTTTTAACTTTCATTTCTCGTAGAATTTTTTTCTGTTGTACAAAAATGAAAAAGGAAAAAAAAAAAAAAATGATAATTCGCCACTAAACAGTAAGACTGATCTCATATGACGATTCAACATAGTGAAGCCGCTATTATATTTGTACTTGAGGTTACAAAAATAACAAACTTTATGAATGATATTGACAAAAATGAAAGAAGGATTCATATCGATGTATAAGGAAAAAATTGAATAAAGAATAACACATATTTTTAGTACCTATGATATGATATATAGCTAAAAAATAAAAAACAAAGGGACATATTTAAAAATTATTTTTAAAAAGTCACTCAATGAATAAGTTAATATATCAATAATTGACATAAAAAAATAAACAAAGCAATATCAAAATCGTTACACGAAATGAAAAAATAAAATAAAAATAACGAGACAGTAATAAAAGCTTAAACAATTTGTTTTAAAGCTCGCTTACTCTGCTCTGTCGGTGTTTACCAGTTCGACATTGAGCGACTATAATAAAGTCAATAGGCGGAAAAGTGAAAAGGTTTGTAAAAAAAATATGCGAAGGGAAACGCGGGGGGGGGGGGGGGGAGAGTTAAAATATGAGAAAAAATTTAATCCTATTCAATGTGAAAGTTTTTAAGATGTACTTAGAAATTGAAAAGTGATCAAAGTTTAATAATAAACAAAACAAAAGAGGGTAAAGTGATGTGACAATGAAGGAAAAATGAGTTGGGAGATACAAGAATCAGAATAAAAAAAAATTCATCTTCAAATGAGTGATGATGTGGAAGGTGAAAATAGAAAGGGGACTAAGATAACGATATGCGGCATTAACAACAAAGAAATTATTTAAAAGATGGAATAACAATTTGATAGTTTTGTATGACTACAAACAATCATCGAAAAAACAAATTATAATCCTTGTCACAATATTGTGAATGAGAAACACAAATTTTATCTAGTCATGCAACTTGAAATTTTGAAGGTAAGATAAAAAAATAAACAAAATCCTTTTATGACGAGGTTTGCAGGGAGAGGAAATGAATGAATGATATGAATGGATTGAGGGTAAATGATGCAATAATCATAAGTGAGAGATATTGGTGGAAGTATTACGAATTATATTTTGAAAATATCCACGTAAAGTGTATTATCCACTATCAGTATCAGTGAACCTTATATAAGGGGGGGGGAGGGGGATGGGATAATAGTTTATCCATTATTAAATTGTAGAGGATCAAGATAGGTATAACCCAAACCTATTTCTGAAAATTGTTTTTATCCATTGCTGCAACTTTTTTGTGCATAGTTGTAGAATAACAATTTTTTTTAATGTTTGCCTCAATTCTGATGATATCTCCTCCCAACCTTAACATTTTTCAGACCCTTATAATCCTTTGGTTAAGATCAATGGGAAAAATGGTTATCGAAGGTCAATCGACATATGACTTGTTGAGGTACATATACGCATGGAGATCAATCATTTAACCAAGCGGTAGTGTCGCTAAGGAGAAGATAACAATACCTTCAATCAAGCATCAAAAAATTGTTTTGATACATACTTATCCAATACGATGATCACTCGATCACATGCCTTAGCGTTGACATTTATTTCCTACTATTTGGGGTGAGTGGTCTCAGTTTGCAATTAACAATAACAACGTAGTTTTGTGACTGAAAATGAGGTAGTAAGCTACTAATTACTTCCTCTCAACCAATTTTCAATGAAAAGTTTAAAATACAAATTTGTTAGTATTTATTTTATAATTTATAAAAATACATAATATCAAATAGTGATTTTTTTTAATGCATGAAACTAAAGTCGTTTTTTGTTGGATGAAATGAATATTTATTAAACCGCCTTTACATTCCCGAAATATCTTGTTATAACGTGGTGGGTTAAGTCACAAGTACATGGCCCTAACCAACTTGAAAATTACCATTGAGCCTCCCCTAAAGTTTTCGGAGGCTCGGGGTAACCGAACCAAAAAAACTTGGTGCGGAGAGGATTCCATCTCGCCAAAAAAAGACTTGCATATACAAGTGCTTGAGAATGTCTCCAAACAATTTTTCTCGAGCGCGGTAGTGCACATGCTGCAAGTTCCAAGGTCGGTCTATCGGAGGTAAATGGCTGGGGACACCACAAAAAAAAAACAACATGCCCGTTTGTTTTCTTTGAGTACGCCGGAGTGCCGGATGAAAAGAGTCTAGCGGCGCCTGACAATTTTGCTTGGTTGCCTATCTGAAAAAAACATATAGAAAGAGTGGCTCTGGTGGTCATCCCCCACTGATGCTATATTTGTGCCTTAGGAAGCATGAAACTCGAGTCTCATCCGAATAGAATGCGCGGTCAGTACAACCGTGTTTGAGTTTAGCTACGGCGATAATGACCGTTCGTTCTTTTTGGGAGAAGGGACCTGCATAGCATTGACTTACCGTGAGGGCACATGTGTGCAGCCGGTAGTTTGTATATGCTTGATTGATAAACACACACACACACACACACACACATAGAGAGAGAGAGAGAGAGAGAGAGAGAGAGAGAGAGAGAGAGAGAGA